GGTTGATTTCCGATTTCTTCCGCATTTTTTTTCCCCTAACTTTCAAGAGTTTTATTTAACGCTTCTTTATTTATATGTATTATTTTTTAATTTTATCTCTCTCATTTCTCTTGATATATCATTTTGAACAAACTATTATTCTTATTATTATAATTATCAATTACTGATTGAACGATTTAGTACAAATTAGATATTGAAATTAATTAATTTTAAGTTTGCATTTATTTTCCGTTTTTCTTTTCCATCTCTTTCATTTTTTTTTTTTAAATTTACTTTCAATTTCTCTCAATGATTCTCTTCAACAATGACAAAGATTGAGGATTGTTTCTGTCTCATTAGTTCATAATACCTCAAATCCTGAATAATTAAACCTTTATTACAATAAGTTTGTCAATATAACAGACTCACTCAGCAATCATAACTTCGATATGACAATTTAATGATGATAGATAGTAATATGATATGAATATGATATAGTAATATAATAATATGAATATGATATAGTAATATGATATAGTAATATAATACGATATAGTAATATGAATCCTCGAATAGGGAAGATCCTCTGGTACATTTCTGAGATTACATGAATTAGCATCTTTGTTAGCGCATGCGGAATGGTGATCTTTGTTAGCGCATGCGGAATGGAGACCTTTGTTGACGCATGCGGAATGAAGATATTTGTTAGAGTATATAGACAATACAATTGATACACAATTTTTGCTTACATTTTACATTGCAAACCCATATAATCAACCCATACAACATGTTATATCCAACAGTATCAATTTTATAACAAAGAGAATACTGATTTATTGCTTCTTCCCGGGATTTCATTCTCCCCGGGATTTCATCGACAATTCCAATTTATGTTATCTAATTTTATTACATATAATATGAATGTGATAATTATCCGTTGTGGAATTTACATAGAAGCATAATCAATTACCTGTTAATACCTGTACAAAACATATCATTTATGTACAACTTTTTGATCGAAACTTAATTACTTATCAGAATTGCTTGACTAGGTATTTAATTACTTATTTTTATTTTTTTGTCATATATATATATATATGAATATATATGTATATGCAGCATCGGTAATTTTGTCATCAATGAATGCAAAAATGGATCCATGTGAAAATTTTTACGAATATGCATGCGGAAATTGGATTAAAGAGCATCCAATTCCGGATGATGCACCATCAGTGTCAAATTTTGAAAATTTAGGACAAGATCTTGAATTAGCTTTGAAAGGTTAATTTTTAATTTTTATTTATGCATATTATTTTACACTTTCCATAATTATTTTAATTTAAATGTAATAAATTTTTGATTAAATTTTAATTTTAATTTAAAATAATTTTAATACTTTAAATAGATTATTGATAAAATATAATTATTATAGGTTTATTGGAACAAAAGAATATAGAAGGATTGGATGGTGATGCTGTACGAAAAGCTCGAACATTTTATCAACTATGCCTCAATGAAAGTAGATCACTTCTGGTTTAAATTATCGATTGATTTGATGAAATTATGATGGTACTGTGGAAATACCTAGCAATCATTGTATTCTATCATTTAAGCAATATTTCAAATGATGATAAATAAAATGTTTGTTAAAAGTTTTTTTTTTTTTTTATTTTTTAATT